TTCAAGTCCTGTGCAAAAACGCATGATCGCACGGGCCCGTCCGGTGCGTTCCAGCCTGGGTTAAGCCTAGCACACCAAACAAATTTTTAACTTGATCCAACAGATCGCCGCTTGTTTCTATACAGCAATGTTAGCTTTCAGTATGGGTCAGGGTCTCTTTTCTATAAACGAATGTTTTTGAACGTCTGGAGCAATTTTTTCTTGTATATTTGATTTCACGATTCACGCTGCCCTGAGTTTGAGTCTGTTCTGCGCTCGTAAACGTAGTTTCATAGATCACCGGAGGCTTTGTCTTTTTTACTGAAACTCACCCACTGTGAAATAATTTGCTGTACTTTGACCATCTTCTGATGAAACCAATATAGGTCAATGGAACTGCAGAGTGAAATTTTCTAACAGCCCTTCCAGCTGTTGCTAAGAAAGTCGGACGAACCTCCATTTTTCCGGCTTGGTCTGCCATTACTGCTGCTCCGGCAACTTTCGGATCTGCTGGTGTCACAAATGGTGATTTGTAAAGCAGATCTATTTTGTCATCAAAAACGCTGTGCTTTTGTAACTGAATTTGGCTGCGACGAGAATCAGAAGAATCAGGAGAATCAGGGGCAACAGTGGCAGGGAATTTGAAGCAAAAAGCAGCAGTGTGTTCAGCTGGATTCCCAGGCTCACTTTCTGGATAGCGCTGTTGCTGCAGAAAAGGAGTGATAAAAAAATCAGAAGGCAGGGCAACTGATGACGATGTTGTTGCTGATAATGATAATGGCGCATGGTTACTGTGAACCGGTATTAACGATAAGTGATTCCGGAAAAATTCATGTTTTTCACGGGTTAACTGCGCATCCGAAAATTCTTCCGGCATACAACGTTGTGGTTCTGGAATAGGAGAGCGAATTTCGTTGGGCTGCACTAATTCAGCGGTTGTATTTTTGGGTCTCGCGCCTCGCAGCTGTATTAAATCCAGACTGCTCGCATCGGATACTGGAAAAGAAGTGCGGGAACTGTGGGATTTGCGTCCCACCATCGCCTCTGTTCCCCTCTGAGCTGCGAGAAAAGTCAGCAGAGTAACTGGAAAAGGTGAAATTGCAAAGAAACACCCAGTTGTTCGCATACTCGCTTTTTTCCGGATCTGAAAATCTTTTGAAAATAAGACTTTTTGAATAATAGCAATCATTCCATTATCATTTATTTGAAATTAACCTTTCCAAGTGACAAAACAAATGTCGAGATCACCGGGCAAAGTAGCATTAGTCAAACAAGTAGGGAAAGCTGCCAGCTCCACAGTGAGAGAACCGCGCTACGAGCTGAACTGCTCAAAAAACTTTGCAGTCGTTAGCAGCAGAGTTGCTTGGATGAGCTGGAGCCCACGATTCACTTATTTTCAAAAAAACACGAAAAAAAAATTCAAGCTCTTTCAAAACAGCCACTTCATAATTGTATGGGATAAGGCTATCGGCCTGTTTTCAAGTAATCCCAAAAGAGATAGCTATTAGCAAACGCGTCAGTGGACGACACTTGTCACCGCTCGAGCCCAGCGCGTTCCTCATCATGGGAGTGAATATAAATGTTTTGACTTTTGGTCCAATAAATTAGGTTTCCGACGTACTGGATTTTTTGCTTAGTTCAAAGAGTGAATTTATCATCCAAGCAGTTCTTGGAAGATGCGTTTTGGTAAAAAATCAATATGGGCAAAGTTGCTTGAGCGATTCGAACTCTCGACAATCGGAATCAACTACAAGCCAAATGCGGCTACGCCAATTTTTATGCGTTTTTGCAGTGCAACGCTAGAGCGCTGCAACAGGCAGCAAAAACGCATATTGCAACGACCCTGTCCATGTGTATCTAAATATGTGTGTGTATTTGTGGATCTGTGTGTGTGTGTGTGTGTTCATCTATGGAGTACCTCTACTTAACAGCCACGCAACCTTTGATGCTGAAAATTTGCCTGGCCAAGTGCGGCCTCAGAAACGTAATTTCAACCATTATGCATGTCTGCGTTTCAAGTATGCGTAAGTTTAAATTTTGGCGGGAAAATCATTAACTCGGGCCCGAAAAGGCCAGAAAGCTGAAATTTTAGGGAAATTTTCCTTACTCATATACGATCAAAAGAAATTCAGCTTCCTAACAGGTCCGAGTCCCACTTAGGTACACGTGAAAATTTTGTTGTGAATTTACAATGATTAACAATGATCTAACGGATACACAAGCTGAATGTGCTCTCACATAGCCGTTAACCTGGCTGTTTCAAGTTTAGTGAAAAAACGCTTGACCGCACCGTTCCGGTTCAGATGCATGTCACTAATTTGCGCGCTATTGCATGCGAACTTTTTCCACAATACTCTTGCTGTTTCATGGTACCACTCATCAATATGCTATGATCAGCGACTATCAGTAAGATGTAACTAGTGTTTGGCGGCTGGCGAGTTTACGACGTCGCATCTCATGTCGATCATTTAACAAAATCTTTCACTGATATTTACCGAGAGTTTTTGATAATCCCTCTTCCCTCTTCTGCCTCTTCTGTATTCGTTTTCTACAAGAGTAAAAGGTATTTGGGAAGGATGCGAGTGATAGCAAGTGCAACTACAACCACCCGCTGGCAGGGCTATCGGTA